TTTGAGAATGATGGAGGCTGCCGTGCTCCTGGACACTTTCAAATGCTGCAGACATTTTTTTGTATCCTTCCCCAGATCTGTGTCTTGACACAGTCCTGTCTCACAGGTCTGTGGACAGTTCTCTCAACCTCATGACTTTTTCACTCTGACATACACCAGCAACTGTGAGACCTTATACAGACAGGGGTGTGCCTTTCCTCATTATTTCCAGTGCAATAAATTAGGCAGAGGTGGACTCTGATGTAGCTGTAGAAACATCTCAGGGACCATTGACAGGAGGAGGATGCACCAGAGCTCAATTGCAAGTGTGTAAACAGTCTGAATACTTATGTACAAGGGAATATTTCAATATTTTATTTTTAATACATTTACAAAAAACACTCCAAAAACCTCTTTTCACATCTTTGAGTAGTATTGTGTGTAGATTGATGAGGAAAAAAAAACATTTAAGCCATTTTAAGATACATCTGAAAATTTTTAGAATCCATTGCATAATCACTCTAAAGCTATTAGTCTTCAGGGTTGACACAGTGGAAATACAAAAGCAGAAAAGGATGCACCTTTTCACTTAAGATAATTGGATTTTGTGTTTGCAAAGGGCCATTACACCAACTCTACTTTTGTGTGTGTGTGTGTTGTACTTGCTATATAGTGAGGACCAAAAAAAGTAGTTTTTGCTACAGAGTGAGGACATTTTGGCTGGTCCTCACTTTCTGAAACAGCTTTTTGGAGGGTTAAGACCTGGTCTTAGGGTTCAGGTTAGAATTAGGTTAAGGTAAGGGGCTGGGGCATGCGTGTCCTCACAAAGCTAGAGGTACAAATACAGTATGTGCATGTGTGACTCACCTCCTCGGTTAGCGGCATCCACAGCCTCTGCCGGTAGACCAAACTGACTCATGAGAGGACCAAGCTGCCCGGAGGCCAAGGCACTGCTGAACATACTCATTGACTGAAGGAGAGAGGAAACAGTCACTGAAGTTAATTCAACACTGTCTAGACAAGATGCAGCAAACACACATGCTTATTTCCCCACAAAGTGTACTGTGGTCCTAAAATTACTGTTAACAAGTTACAGTGTGATGTAGATGACACACACACACACACACACACACACACACACAGAGACTATATTATATATA